ACATCACGAGCACCGAATGACTAAACGCCTGTCAAAGGTGCCAGCTATTAGCGGCGAGATGTTTCGGTGGCGCCCTCGTTCGGTTACCTTTCGTGACGTCATTACCTCGTGAACAGCAAGTTCGATGGCGTTTGTAAAGGCATGGTGGAAGCCTGAAATCATAGCGCTCTCAAAGCAACACTGCAAACACCATCAAAATTGAAGTTCTTACATTCCTGTTATTTCCGTCGATGAGACATCCTTTGCTGACGTCATAGTCAGCATTCGGCCAATTGTGGTGGGCCGACCACAGCGACGCTTTCGATCGCTCACGTCGCCAATTGCCACTAAATAAGCTGCGCTTCAGAGTAACGTCACTTTGCCATATTAGGTCTGTTCGATTCGCCTGAAGTGGCTGAACTAGTTCAGCAGTGCAGGAACTGGTGCATTCGATTCAACCGGAAGTTGTACGGCCGCTGCACTGGCGCGTTCGATTCATCCCAGTTCTGAGCGAGTTCAGACCCAGTTCCTCAAAATTTTGCACCGGCTCCGGAGTCAGTTCAGCGTCCGTGTAGAAGCAGACGACAAGAGCAGACGGCGATAGCAGACGACACTCCTCGTCCGTCTCTGCTCGCGGTGCCATTTTTTCGCAGCTCTTGCTCAAATGTCTGCGATGTGTACGAATAACGCCGATACGGAGGTTGCGTTTCCTCTCATTTATGATAATAACGTACCCGCAGTGGACGCGGAATTGAGATTATAACCGAGGGTAGGAATTTGATTGATTATGATATTCTGAAAGCGTCTTAGGCACCTGCTCGTGTAGGTTTGGCTCCCGGTGGTAAGTGTTGAAATCTTGGCTCACGTAAATTGTTTCTTTTTGATGCTATGTGGGGATCCAAAGTGTTGATATTCTTCCTTACAGACACGGGAAAGGTATTGCACTCTTGATCGTCCCAGACTTCAGTTGCTCTTGGATGCATACTGACGACTCCGATACATTGCAGATGTCTGGGATTTAGTACATTGGCCCTCGCATGCCCCGTAGCTGAGCATAATACTGCATGCTTTGTCCGCTGGTATCTGTGGACGCCCACTAACGGGCATGAGAAAAACGCATGGAATCGGAATTGGCTTGGTAGTTCCACGCAGGTCTTTCTTGAGAATCAGAATAAACGCTTCAGCTTGACGCCAAAGTTACGGTCGATAACTGTTTTGGCCAAAACGCTATCGTCAGGCCTTCGTCTTCGAGGTGACCGCCACCACTGACTCCCGACGGAAAATCATCCTGATGCCGCGAACCTATCGTCGAAATGCGAAACTCGAAAGACTTGGAGTGACTCTACTATTGCTAAATGAATGTGAAGGACACGAACGCTTAGGGAAACGACAGGAACCGAACGGCCGTTAAAAATGCAGACAGAAACACATTTCGCGCAGAAAACGTTTTTAGTACACTCGAAAAAAAAAAATATGCACAGAAAAGATTCGGTTATAATACTTTAAAAGCAACACGAATGGTCTCATCAAACCGCAACTAATTAAATGTAGCATACAACGTGGCGTGGAGAAACAAGAGCCAACAGATGCAGACGACACCCTGCGTTTCCGCTCGGAAAGGCGATCACAGCGCCAGTCCTAGCGCGGCGGCTGCACTGGTTCTGCACCGCCGCTGCACGACTCCTGCACTCCTCTGAACTCGGACAGAACTGGTTCAGAACTTTCTGGTCGAATCGAACAGACCTATTGTGTCTTAAAATCATGGTTGGCAGTTATCTGAAGCTTTATCTGAAATCAGAGGAAACGCTTTTCGGCCCTCCCCAAATGTTTTAATAGTTCGCGACGGGGCAAAGCAGAATTACAACACCGATTCGAATGCTGAGGAAGTCGCATATTGAATCTTGACGATCGGCAGTTGCGCCTGCTCTGCATACGAGCCACAATGGCGGCGCCCACAACAATGTCGGGAAACGGAGTGCCGATACTCTAAGTGCAGCTCATTTAGTGTTTCTGGTGCCAGCACGCTGCATGTGTCTGGGCCGCTTGTCACTGTCGTTTGTTTCTGTTTGTCGCTCTATACTGGGACTCAAGCATAAAAGCGCGGACCAGTAGTTTGGCCGCTTTGACTTTCTTTTCTTCCCCGTGGCGTGCCACCACAAGATTCCCCCCCCCCCCCCCGCCCTCCCCTCCTCCTCCCCCCAAGAATCAAGCAAATCAAGCGTGGTAGCTTGCATTTCGAATTTAAATTTTGCAAGGCGCGGAAAATGGCATGGCCGCTCCCTGTATAGAACCACAATACTTTTCGGTGTTTTTGACAAAAGCTGTATTGCACGCATGACGGACCGGCTGGTGCCCAATGCGTAAATACGTGCAGCATGTGCGTGAAGTATAACTGCACACGTGCAGAGACATTGCGCCGGCCGGTTGCCCTACTTGCAACCAACGCTTGCAATCGTGTTTCCGATATATGAGTCACCGCGCGTGCAAGCCCCTTTTCAGTAAATAGTAGGCTCGTCAATCGTCATTGTTTTGTTAAGTGTCACAGGCTATTTTTTTTATATCGAAGCTGTTATGCACTACGATCTGGAAAAAAATGCGTCCGCGGATGTTGACAGAAAACTCCCCAATGGTTGTGGCAAGTATGTATAAATAAAAATAAAATTAGGGCAACCATTGAGAGTCAGCCTTCCTTGGCATTATTAGATAGTGAGGTCCTGATCTCATGTTATCATCTCTAGGCATTGCCCTCGAGGTCGTCCTAGAACTCGTCCTCGAGGTCGTCCTAGAAGTTGTCCTTGAGGTCGTCGAGAGGTCGTCCTAGAAGTCATTTTAGGCATCGTCCTCTAGGTGTCGTCCTCGAGGTCGACTTAAAAGTCGTCCTTGAGGTTGTCCTAAACGTCGTCCTCGAGGTCGTCTTAGGCGTCGTCCTTGAGGTCGTCTTAGACGTCGTCCTCTAGGCGCCTTCCTCAAGTTCATTCTTGAGGTCGTCTTATATATCCTCTAGGCGCCGTGCTCGAGTTCGTCCTTGAGGTCGTCCCAGACGTCGTCGTCCAGGCGTCGTCCTCGAGGTTGTCCTCGAGGTCGTTCTAGAAGTCGTCTTAGACGTCGTCCTCTAGGCATCATCCTAGACGTCGTGAAAATAACAGCACCGCTGGTCCCCCATCTTCACGTGGAGTGGAAAGGCTCTACATTTTTGTAGTTTCATGGCATTCCGAGAAAATAGGGAAGATGAGAAATAATCAACAAATGAGGGATATTTATTGAGCTATTTGAAACGCTGAAGGGCAACGTTGTTGGCTTAACTTCGGGGCTTGGAACGTCAGTGCCGATCTCGACGCCGAGTGTCGTGTGCTTCCGTGCCACCGCCTTTTCGCTGGCCTTTTGTCTGAGTCAGGTGCCGAAGCAGGTGCACGTGCTGCGCGAAGAACTTCGAGGTGCAGACGCCAGTGAAGTGGCTTTTGAGGATTCAGAAGGGCCGGCAGCGTCCCGGAATGCCATCCGAACACGGGGCTCACACCCAGTGGCGTCACTGGGGTCAGCGACACCCGGGGCAGCAGCCCGCCGCGACCCCCCCTCCCCGCATTCGTGGCCCTCCGCGGCACCCCCCTGAGCACTGCACACTGGGCGGTCCGCCCTCCCCCCCCCCCCCCCCTTGTGACGCCACTGCCCTCACGTCTGCAGAGTGACACGGTTCCAAGCACGTGAACATGTGAAGTTCAGCAGTGAGCAGCTATTGTGCAATCATGCACAATATGAGGCAACATGTAAGGCTCAACAGTAAGTGGTCATTGTACACTTGGGTGGTGCCAGCTGAACAGTAATGAACACAGAACATTTACAGCCGCTGGAAATTGTGTTCATTACTGTTCAAGGAAGAAGAAGGCTGTAACATAGTTGATAGTCCAGCCGCGGTTGTACATCTTCTGTGTTCATTACTGTTCAGCTGGCACCACCCAAGAATATTCTAATCTGCCAAGAAAATCTAATTTCAGAAGGCACAGTGGCAGCAAACCTTCTCCACGTGCCACCTGAGAGCAGCACGCCGTCACCCTCAGCAGCTGTTGACGGCAAGAAATGTTTTAGTGCAATACATCGGTTTTAGTGAAACACTTGTGTCTAACAATAAATCATTTCCAAAAAAAATGGAGGTATGCATTTCTTCTGTCCTGCAGTTCCACAACCGCAGTACCACACCCTCGTCTGTTGACTGCTCTGTATCGGATGGCTTTTTTAATTGAACCACTCGCTTTCTGCACATCTTAAATACTGAAAAAGCAGTCACATATTTGTAAAATGAGTAAGCACCCTAGTTTGCCACTAGCAGGAGGTTAATTTTGAAGAAATTTCAGGTTTCCCAGGTTTATGTCGGCCCGCATTTAGAGCACCACCATGAGGCCCTATACAATGGTGGAGGATGTAGGGCTTGCTCTAAAGGCGGACTGAAAGGCTACCACAGAGGATTTTTCTCGTGTGCTCGGTGCCATGCCACATTTTTTTCGTTTCCAACTGTTCTTGCCAAATGCATTACAAAATGTTTCCATGATTAATAGGAGTGCCTAGCTATTTGCCGAGATTATTCTAAATTTGAGACATACACGGACATACTGTAGCACCATAATTGTCGAATAACTTCTGTAGTGATAGTAGATAGACACGAGAAAAACCACAGAGGATTTTTCTCGTGTGCTCGGTGCCTGCCACATTTTTTTCGTTTCCAACTTTTCCTGCCAAATGCATTACAAAATGTTTCCATGATTAATAGGAGTGCCTAGCTATTTGCCGAGATTATTCTAAATTTGAGATATACACGGACATACTGTAGCACCATAATTGTCGAATAACTTCTGTAGTGATAGTTCGCGCAATACGAAGGTACAAGTCAGTTTTCATCTTCAATGATGCCAGCAAGTTGTCTCTAAGCAGTACTAGAACTATAATTTCACAAATCATAGATTCCGTGGCTTGGTTGGTTGGTTGGTAAAAACTTTATTGAATGCCTGCAGAGCTTTCGCTGACCGGGCCTAAGTCACCCGCTTGGGGGCGTTGCCGCTGGTCCTCTTCGCCTGTCTAGGGGCGTCGAAATCCTGCCGCTTCACCGCCTCACAGGCCTGCTGGACGGCCCAGAGTTGATCGTCGAGGCTGGGGCTGCACAGGGCAGCGGACAGCCGCGGCGGGAGGGTTCCGGAGTTAGCACCGTGCGGGTCTTTGGTGCAGTCCCAGAGCATGTGGGTTAACGTGGCTACCTCTTTGCGGCAGACCTTACACGTGTTCATCGTGTATATTTCGGGAAACATTCTGTGATACTGTGCCGGGTTAGGGTACGTGCGCGTCTGCAGTTGTCTGAATGCGACCGCCTGTGCCCTGTCCAGCTTGTCGCTGGGCGGAGGGAGTGTCCGTCGGGCCAGGCGGGAGGTCTTGGTGATTTCGTTGTAGCTCGTCATACGGTCCTTGCTGCTGTACCACGGACGACCGTCGCCGGTGCGGTTTGTTAGCTCGCGCGCCCTGGCGTGTGCCGTCTCGTTGCCGTTACGATGCTCCTCGGAGACTTCCCCCACGTGTGCGGGGAACCACAGGAGTCGGGTTGGGGGTTCTGGTTCTCGGTAGACTTGGCGTTGGCTTATGATTCGGGCTGCTCGTGGCGATATCCGTCCTTTGGCGAAGTTCCTGATTACTTGTCTCGAGTCACAGAGGACTGTTTTGGACGCCGGGTCCGTAAGGGCGAGGGCGACTGCTATTTCCTCAGCTTCTTCGGCGCGTTCGCATGTCACGCTTGCTGATATCTTCGTTTCCCCGTCTGAATCGACGACCGTCACGGCAAATCGGGAGCCTGTCTCGTACTCGGCGGCGTCCACGAATCGCGTACCCACATTGTTGCTGTGGGCATTGAGAGGAGCCTTGGCTCGGGCATCTCTTCTGCCTCGGTTGTACTCCGGGTGAACGTTTCTGGGGATCGGATCGACTCTTATTGTCTCCCGGATCGCGACTGGGATGGTGACTTTGTGGCCCTGCTGTGTGTGGTATCCGATGCCGAGGTTCTCGAGGATGCGGCGGCCAGCGTTCGTGCCGGACAACCTCTCCAGTTGCGAGGTGCGCTGTGCCTCTGCGATTTCGTTCAGCGTGTTGTGGATGCCCAGCTGGAGCAGGCGGTCTGTGCTTGTGGATTCCGGCAGGCCCAAGGCGATCTTGTATACCCTGCGTATGAGGACGTTGATCTTGTCTTCTTCTTTCCTGTAACAGTTGTGAAAGGCCGCAATGTAAGCGATATGGCAGACGACGAACGAGTGGATGAGTCGCGTGAGGTTCTCCTCCCTCATTCCGCTCCTTCTGTTGGTGATTCTCTTGAGGAGTCTCGTGGCGTTGGACGTCTTGTGTACTAGTCTGGTGATGGTTCCGCCGTTGTGACCCGTGGCTTCGATTATCATGCCGAGGACTCTGATTTTGGGGACTGTCGGGATGGTCGTGCCATCGCTCGTGCGTAGACTGATTTCCTCACAGTTTCTTCGGGCTTTAAGTTTGCCCCGTTGTGCGGGGCGGTAGAGCAGGAGTTCTGACTTCTTGGGCGAGCACCGCAGGCCCGTGCCATGAAGATGGGCCTCTATTGCGTCAATTGCTGACTGCAGCGTCGACTCGATATGACCGTCGCTGCAGCGTATATGGTGGGCCGGACGTCTTCGATGTCTTGCAGCTTCTCTGCCACCCCGATCATGACCAGGTTGAAGAGTGTGGGCGAGATGACCGAGCCCATGCGGGGTGCCGGCGCTGCCCAACGTTTGCTCTTCCAGCTGGAGATCTTTTGCCACTAGTACGGCGCGTCTGTCCGTCAGGAAGTCTTTCACGTAGTTGTAAGTGCTCAGGCCGAGGTTTCGTTGTGAAATTTGTCGCAGAATCGCCGAGTGAACGACTTTGTCGAAAGCGCTTTCTAGGTCGAGTCCGAGGATCGCCCTAGTTCCCCTGGTCTTGTTGTCCAGCACTTGGTGTTTTAATTGTAACATGGCGTCGTGCGTGCCGAGGTTTTGGCGGAAGCCTATGAGGGACGGTGGGTAGATCCCTTTTTGTTCCAGGTACACTTGCCAACGGTTGAGCAGTGCGTGCTCCATGACTTTACCGACGCACGATGTCAGCGATATGGGGCGGAGGTTGTCGAGGCTCGGTGGTTTGCCGGGTTTTGGTATTAGGATCATCTTCGCGGTCTTCCACTGGCGCGGGAGGCTGCCTCGCCGCCAGCAGGTTCTGATGTATTCTGTCAGCTGTTCCATTGAGCGGTCATCGAGATTCTTTAGGGCGCGGTTCGACACCCCGTCGGGGCCCGGTGCCGACCTGCTGCTGAGTTCGTGCAGTGCTGTTCTGATCTCTTCCACGCTGAAGTCTCTGTCTAATTCTTCATTGGGCTCGCCCTTGTACGGGCCGTGCTGCACGGTCGGGGTCTCCGGAAGGTATTTCGCTCGCAGGCGGGCAGCCACCACATCTTTCCCGCGTTCCCCGATCTCCTTGTGTATCAGGCGTGCGAGATGGTCCCTCTGGTGAGACTTGGTGTTTGTTGCGTCCAGCAGATGCTTTAGTAGGCTCCACGCTTTGCCGTTGTGTAGTTGGCCGTCCACCGCGTTGCACATCTCATCCCACTGCTGGCGGTCGAGCGTGCGGCAGTGCTCCTCGATGCTGCGATTGAGCTCCGCAACCTTTTTTCTGAGTCTCCGGTTGAGTCTCTGTTTCGTCCATCTGGCCAGGATCGAATTCTTCGCCTCAATGAGGTGCGCCAGGCGGCTGTCCATCTTGTCGGTGTCGACGTCGGTCTCGATCGTCTTGGTCGACGCTTTGGCGTCCTCGACTAACTCGCGGAACCACGCTTCGATGTCCGTGATCTCTTCTGCTTCGTGTTGTTGTTCTCGGTCGCGTTGCTTTCTGAAGTCCTCCCAATCCGTCCACGTAAAGGTGCGCCTGCTGCCTTGCATTCTGTCCGGTGTTGGGACGTGTATCTCTATGATCGCGTGGTCGCTGCCCAGGTCAACCGTCGTGTTGCTCCACGTAACGTTCGCCGTCCCCGCATTTCTGATGAACGTAAGATCCGGGGTCGTGTCCCTGGTGGCCGAGTTGCCCAGTCTCGTCGGGTGCGCCGGGTCCGTAATGAGCGCGAAGTCTAGCTCCTGCGTGTCTTGTGCGAGGTTTCTCCCCTTGGCCGTGTTATAACCGTAACCCCATGCTGCCTCTGCCGCGTTGAAGTCGCCCCCCGCGATCAGCGTCTGGGACCCGGCGGTCTTGAGTGCCTTCTGGAGCAGCGCCCGGAACCTCTGGCGGCGATTGGACGGGTTTCTGTACACATTTAGAACGAATATGCTCTGCTTCCTGCGTTTGGTCGGTATGAGTTCCACAAACGAATGTTCTACTTGAACGCCACCCAAGTTCGTGGTCGACGAACATAAGGCCCTTCCTGACGAGCCTGCATAATCCCCTTCCCTCTATCGTGCAAACGTGTTCCCTATAGCCCATTAGGGTGGGAGCGTCCGTGAGCGTTTCTTGGAGTAAAATCACGTCTGGTTTGCGCGTTGTAAGTTGTAAGAGATCTCGACTCTCTCAGTCGTACTCGGTCGCAAGAGTGTGAACGGGCCTTTAAGGCCCGTTCACACTCTTGCGACTGAGTACGACCGAGTACGACTGAGAGAGACGAGGATCTCTTAAAACTTCCTAAATGTTTTTAGAATGAGGGAACACATTGGTATTGTGGCGCCATCTATGCGGTGACCCTGGAACTGCATTTCACAAGAGCGAAGGTTTTGCGTGATTTCCGAGGTGAAATGTGCGTAATAACCATAGAAAGGCTCGTTTATAACATTGACAAAAGTTTTTCGAGCCAAGAAAGGATAATGCGCGAGAAATAAAAAAAATATGCCGGACCGCCGAGTTTACACTGCTTCCCAATAGATGGCGCCAGTGTGTTCCCTGGTTTAAGAAGTTTTAAGGAACCTAGGTTTAAGAGGTCGCAAGAGTGTGAACGGGCCTTTACAACTTCTTAAATGTTTCTAGAATGAGGGAACACACTGACATTGTGGCGCCATCTATGCGGTGACCCTAGAACTGCATTTCACAAAAGCGAAGGTTTTGCGGGATTTCCGAGGTCAAATGTGCGTAATACCCATAGAAAGGCTCGTTTATAACATTGACAAAAGTTTTTCGAGCCAAAAAAGAAAGGATATTGCCCGAGAAATAAAAAAAAAAAAATATGCCGGACCGCCGAGTTTACACTGCTTCCCAATAGATGGCGCCAGTGTGTTCCCTGGTTTAAGAAGTTTTAAGGAACCCAGGTTTAAGAGGTCGCAAGCAGTCGCAAGTGTGTGAATGTGTTGTTGCAGGACTGCCTTCTTGCCGGCGAAGCCGCGGCAGTTCCACTGCCATATGGTTATTCCTGAATTACCGCTGGCCATGTTGATAATATGTTGAGTAATTTCCAATTGCGGACGCGTTTATGCGGCTTCTTGGTGCTTCCCGCGTTTATAATTCTCCCATAAGCGGAAGAATCATATTAAGCAATGATATGATGTTTCGTGCCCATTGGGCGTCGACAGAAGATAATATAGGCTGTAGGCCATGGGAGCTGCTTTCCTGAGAAGCGGAATCCAGCTGTCCCATGCATTTCCTTTGATTGGCGGAGCGTCAGAGGGCGAAGTAGTCTTCCGCATTGGATCAGGAGTGGCAGCCGCTGACGTCGACGGCCTTTCCTTTTCTCCCTTGGATTCTAAAACTTAAATTTTGCGGTCATTTGAGGGAGGGGCCCCCTTCATGAGCTTCTGTGGATTCTTCTTTAAAGCTGGAGCATAGCCATGGGCGCTTGGGTTCTGCTTGTTAGATGTCTCATTTATTGTGTTCTGTGAGTGTAGAGGTCGTTGTTCAATTTCAGCCGTTTGTTTTGTTTCCCCCTGTTGTGAGACGGCGGACCTTGCGGCGCGAAAGTCAACTGCGTGTTTGCGTGCATAGCTGCGGGTCTCACTTTCTCTCTGCCATTTTGGGCAGGAAGAGGACGTGGCAGCGTGAGCTTGACTGCAGTTTGCGCATTTTTCTTGACCAGAACACGTGTCGTTTCCGTCGTGGGCTTCTCCACAGCGACCGCAGATAGGTGGGCGCTTGCAGTTGGCTTCGCGATGTCCATATCCACAACATTTGCGGCACTGAATTGGGCGTTCCTTGAACGGGGTCACCGGATGGCGAACGTGACCGAGATAAACAAAACTCGGCAACGTTGTTTCGCCGAACGCTATCTTTACTATGGAACTTTGTCCAAGCCGTCGAATTCTCGCCACTCGGCCTTCTGGAGATCTCATATGCTGTTCAATTTCGGCATCAGAAAGTGAAGTGTCCATGTGTTTGATCACTCCTACTGCGAAGTGCCGCGGGACGGGCTCGTACGCCCGAACTTTCAAGCCGCAGATCTGAGTGCAGGCAAGGAGCGCACGGGTCGTCTGACCATTTCGAGTGTCCACTGCGATCAGATTTAATCTGCTGTTGGGCCTAATCTCGTGGATGCATTCGGGACACAGCTGTTCCAATGCAACAGACAGTTTTAGACTGCTGATCGCTATGATTTTCTGGTTTTCAACCGCTGGTACAAAGATTACAGTCAGGCCAACTGTCGTGGTAGGCGAGTTCGTAACTGTGTCTCCGCTTTTGCTTGAACTGGAGTTCTTTTTGCGCTTCTTGGATGTCTTGGCATCGTACCATTCACCTTGGTCGGTGTCGGCGATTTCCATGTCGCTAGTTAACATTTCAGCGTTGAGTGGAGATTTGTGGAGTCCGTGGTCAGGAGCTCTAACTTCTGCCAGGTTAGTGACGGAGGCGTCGTTCTCTAGGTCGGCGATAGAGGATCCGCATGTTGAAGGAGGCATGCTGTAGCACTCAGTTGGGGTCTTCTGACTTGCCGTTAGCGAAGGGGTTGCGGTAGCCATGGGGAAGTAAAATCAGGGTTTATACCCCGAGCCGATCGAAACCAGCCCTCCGACAAGCGGAGGAAGCCTTATTAATTGTTCGCTGATGCTAGAATGGTCTAAACTGGTGATATTATAAATAGAAATAAGCACGAACAGATGAGCCGAGAAAGACACTGACCTGTTCGAAGCGCTTCGTCTTCCCCTTCTCCGTGGCTTGCATTATGTCCTTTCTGAATCGTTTTTAGCCGGCTCTGGTTCAATGCGTGCGTCCAGCAAGTACTACAACAGAGAACCCAAAGACGTCATCAGGCGCCTTTAGGCGAAGCTTTCGGCATACAGGAAGACTATTTTAAAGCTCCGAAAACAGCAAAAGCAGGTGCCCCGAAACGCTGCAGAAGGGCTTGAAATGGTGCATCCTTTTGTGTCTGATGATGTTTACGAATTGCTATCAGCACACACGAAATGTTCAAGGGTCGGGGAAAACGTTACCCCTGGGTTGAAGAAATTCGCTCTGGACCTGAATTTTCATGGCCCTGAAGCGTACCGTAATCTGTCATCGGTTCTAACACTTCCTACTCAGCGTCCTTTACGCAGATGGCTTTTCAATTTAAAAATGACTGCAGGGATTATACCTGGTGTCATGTCGACTCTTGACATCTCAAATGCAGTTGTGGAATGTGCGTGATCGTATGCACTTTAGTTTTTGATGAAATAATTAGAAAACATTGTAGAGCACATCCACTTCTCGTGAAGTTGGAGGACCAGCTTGGCTGGTCCTCCATCTTCACATGAAGTGGATGGGCTCTAGAATTCCGTCCTCTGCAATCGTACTCGAGGTTCACGTGAGTAACCTCGAGTACAATTCCTAGAGGACGACGTCTAGGACGATCTCAAGGACGACCCCAAGGAAGACTTCTAGGACGACCTGGAGGGCGATGCCTGAATATGATAACAAGGGATCAGGACCTCACTATCTGATAATGCGAAGGAAGGCTGACTCACGTTGGTTGCCCCCTCTTTATTTTGATTTATTCATACTTGCCACGACCAATGGGGTGTTTTCTGTTGACATGTGAGGAAGAATATTTCCCCAGACCCTAGCCCCATAACAGCTCCGCTGTAAAACTTGTCTTATGATGTTTCCCGTGTTAATATTCATGGGTTCACGGATGATGGTGTAAAGAGTACATCTACCATAGCGGATCGAGGCTTGGTCATCCTGCTCTTTGGCATCTCAAGAAAATGGGTTTAACCACTCGCATACACTGTTGGGCCTACCTCCAACACCATCATTTGTCATCCAGAATCTTCTGGTGTCACTCATTCAAAGCGTTAAAGCTATTACGGTAAAAGCTGTAGTGTGAGACCAGGGTGCTTCGAACGGATCTTTGGCAAACCAGCTGGGTGTGTCTGTTAGTCAGCCATTTTTTTAGGTTGAAGGTGAGCGTATTTATTTTATTTTTGATGTCCCACACCTTATCAAGACTACCAGGGCCGGTTTTCTCGAAGCGATGGTAAACCCATTTTGGTAAACCACGGTGCCTAGGAAGGAAAAAGTACCTAGGTACTGTAATAAACGGCTGGATATAGAACAACAATAATTATTTTCGATTGGGCAATAAGATGCGCTATCTATCGGTGAAACAAGCCAGTCATTTTGTTTATCCTCTTTTTCCGCTGGTTGTTATCGATCTAGTATGGTATTTTAAGTCAAAATATAGTGATGTTGTACTTGAAGACCAATTTATTTGCTTCCGATGGTACGAAGAAATTTTAGCTACTACGCCATAGTTTGACGACGAATATTCGAAAATCTAAGAAACATTTCCTTCAATATGTTTCGCCATAAACAACGCATTACTGTCCCGTGTTCCTTCCAGTCTGGCAACGCCGGTGCTGTAGTCTCGTTTTTGTTCCTTGCAACGCACGTTTCTGCGATTCCTGCTGATCTCAACTGTTTGCCCTCTCTTCCATTTGTCCAACCGATCCACCGGTGACGAGAAGCTAAGCTCCTCGTCACCGTTGAATCGCTGGCCACCGGGGATATGTAGAAACCTCGATGCTGTCGGCATACTGTCGGCGCACTGCGAACAAAAAAAAAAAAAAAACAGTACAATGTTTTAGCCGTTCACCAGGAACGAATACTTTATTGTGGATAACCCCCTTTCTCCGCAAAGTAATCGCTGCTCACGAGTTGGCATGCATAGTGTAACAAATTAAACGTGTTAGAATAAGTATATACCAACACTCGTTCGCAAAACATTTTTTTACTCACCATAAAAACACTTGCAAGGCTTATGTACCATCTTATGTCTTGTGTCCCGGACTGCTGAAGAGTGATGCGTTCGCGGAATGCTGCCGTCGGTTAGTTTAGTAGTCCCTCTGAACTACCGCTTTGCTTGACGTACGTGCCAATAGGTTGATGGTGCGTCATTAATATAACAGCCGGATCGAAATTAATGTTCAGCAGAACCAAGCAGAATGATTAGCCCTCGTTGAGCGACGCCACGGCCATTTTGCTTCTAGGTACTGCTCCTCCCTCGGCGCCCCTGCTCTCAAGTCACGTGACCTAGAATTCCCCCTTCTAGGGACAATAGTTAACTTTAAACCACGGTTCGCGTTCGAGAAAACGGGCCCAGAAATAGCCTTCAAGCACACAAGCTGTGCATCGGGGATAGGACTATTGACTGGTCTTACATTGTCTTACACTGGTCTTACATTGTCTTACACTGGTCTTACATTGGTCTTACAACTTTACTATTCTACACCCACGAAATGAGACTGCGGCTAGCACCAAAGCTTACGGACAGGCACATTCTGCAGAAGCCTTTCAGCAATATGAAAGTGAAGCGTGCAATGCAAGTACTGGGTGCCTCGGTCTGGGGTGCGCGTTTAGCCCTGGTTTATGGAAGGCGCCGATTTTTGCGGCCCGTTTTAGATCGAGCCACGGTATTTCGAACACTCTATAGAGTATACAGCATAAATCGGTTTATTTATGTGTCGAAATAATATTTGCTGCAGCGGTCGAAGATTGTGCATTTGTGTCTTAAAATGTGAAAAAAAATATGAGCTTACCTGTGTGAACAGTAACAAATTAAGAGCGGCGTCCGTCTGCAAACTAAAGGCGTCTGATTGGTGCAATAGCGGACTGATTATGGCAGTTACTAACATAAAGCCGAAATAACCCGTCAAAAAATCTTGTTGGCTTCATATCCAATCAGAATTTTTTGCAGTAAAAATAATAATAATAAAAAAAAACATTCACTAGGCCTAAAAATCCCGCGCCGCGTTTGAATAAAATATACCGTCTGCTTTAGGATCTCAGTGCCTCTGCGCCCTCGCTCTATCTGCCTCCATCTGTCGGTTGTTGCGCCAATCAAACTCCGTTTGGGAGCAATTTGTCGCCTTCGATAGCGAATTCACGCTCTCAATTTGTTACTCGTTACTGAGGTCAGCTCATTCCTTGAAATTTTGACACACAAAATTCATCCTCTTCGGCCACCTCGATACAAACTCTTAAGAATCTAACGCAATCTGTTTTTAAGCCTCTTGGGACTGCTTACGGCAGGCAGCGCAGCAACAGCGATGGCGGTCGTAAGCGTCTTAAGGCCCGTTCACACTCTTGCAACCGAGTACGACCGAGAGAGACCAAACCGGTTTTTAAGCCTCTTGCGATCTCTTAGGACCAGCTCCGCTCAGCGCATCCGGTCCCAAGAAGTCTTTCTCGGTCGTACTCGGTTGCAAGAGTGTGAACGCGCCTTTAAAAGCCGGTGACGTCGCAGTCGGTCGTAGTCAGTCGCCAATGTGTGAACCAGCCTTTAACTCGATATTTTTCTGTCTCCTTCAAAGGACCAACGATCCCTTCCACTCACAACGTGTAATGTCCAAGCGTCATATGAGACGAGAACTTCCTGAATTGTTCGATATCACATATGCTTGGATCCATGCATATGCTCGAGAAGGATATGCAGTTTTTTTCACTCCTGATGAACCTGTGCGGCTGTGCCCGCACAAGTACAGATCTTCTGCTCAGCTCTGATTACAATAATTTGCAATATAACTAAAACTTGCAACCTTGTTTGATCATATCTGTAACGCTTTTTGCCGCATGAATAGAGTACAAAAATTTTGTAGTAGAATAAAATAGAATCCGCAACATTTAAGGTCCTGTCACACTGAGGCAACACGACGGCAACAGCAACACAACAGGTTGTCCAACAGTCGGGCAATTTGTTGCCCGCTCCCCGTGTTGTCCGACAAACTTGTCACATCGCGGCAACAGCAGCACAACATGGGCGACAACTAAAATGTTGCCTTGGTATGACAGCTTTCGGCAACAAAAACAGCAGCAACTCGTGTTGGACAATGTGTGTTGCCCGGATCGCTGGCTGAGCGAATTTCGGGCCGGCAACACGACAACCCAGATAGCTTCGATGGCAGACCTAGTTCCCTATCAATAACGCCTTCCTCAAATTAAGGCTTGGAAAAAGCTATTTAACAATAATTAATGCTGATGTGCAGCTAAAATAAGTTGATGAATGTTTTTACTGAGTAATTACGGAAGGCGATTGTCGAAGGGTCAGCGGTCGTGAACGTTCAGACTGGTAATTAGAATAAGAGTACCAACTTAACACGACAGAAAAAAAAAATCATTAGACGTTTCGCCTCTTACGCGGGAGGCATCTTCAGTAGTTACAAAGCATATGCAAGGTTCAACCTCAAGTCAACGCTATTTATCAGGAATGTCCGTGTAAGCTTTGTGGAGAGGGCCGCGGTTTTTGTTACACACGAATGTGTCCCTGCGGGCATTCCCGATAAATAGTGTTGACTGGAGGTTGAACCTTGCATTTGCTTTGTAACTACTGAAGATGCCTCCCGCACGGGAGGCAAAAAGTCTAATGAAATAGTTTTTTTTTTTTTTTTCTGTTGTGTCAAGTCGGTGCTTTTATTTTAATTAT